CCCACCCAGCACATGTGTTAGCCAAGAGTGCACATTTCTTACAAGTGTGTTGTTGCCATTTCAGGTACAAGAACTATGAATTTATAAGTGACAATGAGATCTCTAAATCTGCTGGGCTTAACTCACGCTACTCCGACTCATCTCTGCATGGTGTTGTGTTTGACATCCAGATGTTAGCAGAATGTGACTTTTTGGTGTGTACATTTTCATCGCAGGTAAGACTTTTAAATTCATTTCAAACCCAGAAGTATATAATATTAAAATTGTTTTTTGTAAAATTTAAAAAAAAAAACACCATGTGACATGCTACCCATGAGGTTTCATTTGAATGGTAACACCATGAGATTTCATACACAGACTGAAAAGTGAGAACCACCTTTTACAGGATAATAAACAGTACCACAGGAAAGTCCTGCTCAATGCTTTCATTCAAATGGTCACAACATAGGATTTCATCCACAGACTCAAAATCTAGAACTACTTTGTACAGCATAACAAACAGTACCACAGGGAAGTACTGCTCAATAGCTTTTATTTGAATGGTCACACCATAGGATTTCATCCACAGACTCAAAAGTTAGAACCACCTTGTACAACATAATTAACAGTACCACAGGAAAGTGCTGCTCAGTAGCTTTCATTTGAATTGTCACACCATAGGATTTTATCCACAGACTCAAAAGTTGGAACCACCTTGTAATAGCTCACTGCAGAAGGCTAACCTTTTCTCTCACAATAGCAGCCTTACAAACAAAGGAAAAAAAAAATTAATACTGCTATCCTTTACATCTGAAATCCATTCTGGACAAACACCAACAGCTAAAATTCAGGGGGGGCAGGGGTAGGGTAAAAGCCAAGGCTGTACTCTAGCAGCACTTGGTGGCCTGTGGTACCTAACTTTTGCTCCCAGGCAACTAGAAAATCTTAGTTTTTTCATAGAAAAAATAGCTGGGCACCCTGGATTTCACAGATTCAAGGCACAGGGCCCCCTGCAATTTTTCTTAGAGCACAGCCTCAGGTTACCTTAACATTGGCACATGAGATTAAAAAAATTCTATATTTCATTTTGTTTCATTCAAACCTCATTTTGTCTTTTTTTAAATACATTTGTTAGGTTTGCCGTGTGGCCTATGAAATTATGCAGTCAATGCATCCAGACGCATCTAAGAAATTTCAATCACTTGATGATATTTATTACTTTGGTGGTCAGTCGGGTCATGATGTGCGTGCCATTTACCCTCATAAGTCACAAAGAAGCTCTGAAATTAATCTCTATGAGGGAGATCGCATAGGAATTGCTGGTAATCACTGGGATGGCTATTCCAAGGGTGTCAACCACAAAAGAGGTGGCGATGGCCTCTTTCCGTCTTACAAAGTGGAAGATGTTATGGAGGTGGAGGAATTTCCAACCTATGCAGGAGCATAGGCAAATCTTTACTGTTGTAGTTTTTTGTAGTTATTTTTTGTATTTTATTTTTTTGAATGTTTTATCCAATGGT